GATAGCAACCACAGACCTTATTTCCAGCTATTTTCCAAAATCCTATGGAGAATTTCCATTGCGTTTTTGTCGAGGGAACCAGAGGGAACCCATGCGCAGCTTACTTTGGGTTTTAGGACGTGTCACTGTGACTGCACCACTCCATATAGGATAAAGTGTCAAGTGTGGCACTGCCTTAATGAGCCTTATGTCAAATCTAAATCAACTTTGTGTAGACATCTTGTGCTCTTCTCTGTCACTTTTCAGGAGCACAGTAGAGAAGGCAAGCTAAACACATGCTCTTCACCACCCTCAGTGCTTTTCTGCTTCTAAAGGAAATCAGGTGGACACAAGACCGAAGAAACGTTGAGTGAGAAAATGAGGATAAAAATAACTTACCATCGTCCAGCGTGATGTCCTGTAGGCCGATGGAGCGGAAGGTGGGCTCCTTCTCCTCGGGCTCCTCTTTGATGTCCGGCCTCTCTTTGTCCGAGGGGAAGGGTCCTTGTGGGCTCAGAGGGTGAATCAGAGGCCCCGCTGCCACCGGGGAGAGGCTGGCCATGACCGGGCTGGTGGCCTGGGGGGAGTGCTGACCTGAGTGCTGCTGCTGCATGGGCCCCAGAGGACTGCCACCTGATGTGGGGGAGGAGGAGGTGGGAGACTGGTAGGGCAGCGATTGGAGCTGAGGGGAGGAAGGCCCTGAGTGGGGAGAGGGGATCATCCTGGTAGCAGGGGCGCTGGACGGGGTGGGACAGGAGGCTGACCTCTGACCCACGGGGTGGTAGCCCATCGCTCTATGCAGCTGGGAGGGGTGCTGCCCCGCGAGGGGGTGGCTGCCGGGAGAGGGCATCTGGGGGGGGTTTGGGGAGCAGTGATAGTCTCCGAGTGTGTGCAGGCGTGGGGATGAGGGGGAGAGCATCGGTTGTTGGCTCTGGGGAGACCCAGCTATGCTGTTTGAGGAGGGGGGAGCTGATGGTGAGGAGCACGGGGAGGAAGGGTACACCATCCCCATCCCCATCGGGTGAGACGCTGCAGAGACGCTGTGCTGGAAGGGCATCCTCTCGTAGCACTGAGGGGGGAGTGGGGACTGGCCGTTGAAGGGCAGGCTGTGGCTGTGGCCGTGCTGCATGGACTGGTAGGAAGGCCGGGGGGGCGCAGGGAGAGGAGCAGGGGTCGGGTGGAACGTCATGTGGCAGTCTGCGGGGGGGTGGTGCAAGCTGCGACTCTGGAGGTGAGGCAGGTGCTGGAAAGGCGGGGAGCCCAGGGAGGGGCAGGGGCCCTGCAGGGAGAGCAGGCCGCGGGGGGAGCCGGACAGAAGGCCGTCCGATGGGTGGCACTGCTCCGGAGAGGGCAGCTGGGGGCGCACCAGCCCGCCAGCATGGGCCAGGGGGAGGGACATGGGGGAGACGGCAGAGAGGTCCAGCTCTTCTCTGTGCTCCTGTTTCACCAACACTGAAGGGGGAGAGGAAGGGAGATGTGAGGAAAACGGTGATACAGACAGGAACACATCAATCACTCAAATACTGCCTGAATCAGAAGCACAATTCCTTTATTCCGCAGGGTATAGATAGAGACGAAAGATTCAAAGAATACACTATTAGATAAAAAGGTATGTACATAGTATTTAAAAAAAAAAAAAAAGGTAGGTAGAAAATTCAGGGCAAATAAGTGAGCAGCAGCAGTATTTATAAGATCAATGAAGTGTAACATTATGGAATGAAGTGTGGTGGTAGATTACACTAAGATTATACATTAGTCAGGTCATTGTATTGCAGCATTGTCAGTGTCACAGCAAGTGATGCTGCTGCTCAGTCCAGTGCCTTCAGGCAGCTAAAAAAAAGCAAGTCGGTGTATCAAGTTTTTCCACATTTTCCTCCCCCACAAGTTCACCCAATCAGTGTCTCTGAAGTTCAAATATGTTTCAGTTAAACCAGAAAAACTAGGTCACAAGAACCTAAACGCCTGTAGAATAGTTTCTGAAATGTATGGTTTGTGAAACGTGTCTCCTTCCAGGTGCAAAAAGCTTCAAAAAAACGAGTGACATTGTGATGGTAAATGGGGACTATCACTTTTACTGTGACAGCACACAGCTCTGCTATGCCAATCGGTAACCTATTTCCCAATCTGGTGCCTTGTAACAGTTAGTTTTATTTTTATCCAGCTCTGAATTAGAGGGAGAGCATATGTTGTCAGTCCGGGTGCCATCATGTGAAATGCTGAGTGGGAAGAGAGGAGCCGAATGCCCGGCAACCCGGATCAGACCAACAGAAAACGAGTTCAGTGCTGTTGCCCTCTACTCACCCCATCATGCCTCTGGGACTGAGAGGCGAGGGGGCACGAAAAGGCCAAACGAGAGCCAGAGGGATATCAAGGGTACAGCAAGGGAACTGTATATTTAAAAACATGAAATCCTGTTTTATTATGGCTTCAAAATGAAACCCAGAACTTTAAAAAAAAAAAGGTTTTTTTACTTCAGTTTGATGAAGACCCCAAGGGCAAATAGAATAGAGCCAAAGGTATATCAAGATAAGTAAAAGGTAGATGTTTTTCCTTCTGTTTTAAAAAGATACTTTTCCCCCAAGGTCAAATGTATTTTTTTATGACTGAAAACCAACATTGAAATCCTGTTTTAATACAGAAAATCATAGTTTGTTTCTTAAGTTTAAAAAAGAAAATGTGTCCCCCAAAGCAAAGTAGTGTTTATTGTGGCTTCAAACCGAGACAGAGGTACAGTATTTGGTGGGAAAGGGAAGCGAATCAAAATTGATTATAAAGGTTTGACAAATAGTTTGCACGTTATGTTAACTAAAGACAATTTCTCTTTAAACATGTCACAGTTTTCTCATCCTTCAACTGGGCCAGGGCCTCTGCAGCCCAGACCACAACGAAAACTTTTTAATTTTTTGCCGCCATAATGCAGGCGGTGTCCGTGGTTACATTAGTGGTGTCAGCGACGCCGCTTGATTGACAGAGCAGGGTAACTCTACTCTGCTCTGATTGGCTGCTCTGATATGTCGACGCTGAAAACAGGAACTGTCAGTGTTGAGTGGGCGTGCTTGCAAACAGAAAGGCTGGGTGGGTGGAGGGGCAAGGCCGCATATACGCACACACACACACAAACTTACACATTTTTGTGGTAAAACTCAGGGGTGTGGATATGTTGCACAAAATGCTCACATGCCATTATATTCCGCCAACGGTGTTTCAGTATGACTAGCTTCTCGAGGAAAATAACACAATAACAATATCAAATAGCACGGCAGGAATTTGCCTTTAATTAAAAACATTGAGGAAACTTTCAAATCAAAATATTATGACTATCGAGTTCCCTTACTGCTAAAATACTCGTATCGAATATATAAGGTGTCCTGGATTGCAAAAGAAAAAATAAGGTTGGCTTGGTAATTTGAGTCGGCTTTACAGAATAAACAGTTGGCAGGTGTTAATGTTATTGTTAGTGGAGAAGCCCTTGTAAACCACAGTGATGCTTTCTTTGGAGAGAGAAAGAGAGAAACGGGGTTAGTGAAACCCCTTTGGAGAAGTGTGCAACACCGAGAGCACGTTACAACTGTCTCTGCTGTCAGTCAAACTTCTTGTCATTATCTTTGGAGATGAGCTGCAACAGGGAGCAGTACACCCCAAGGAATGCAAAGTAAAGCTTGAGAGAAACCCTTTGTCTAAATGTCTGTAAAAGCATTAGCTTGTGCTCTCTTAGCTAACTAAGGGGATTGTCTTCAAATGTTTCATTAACGGTCTAACTCTGTCTAAAAGTCTTGAGAACTTCTTATCTCACCTGACAGGTAAGTGAAGCGTTGCGATTGGCTCCTTTTCCGCTTGCCATTGCAGACATAAAACTGCACCTGCACAGCTGAGCCCACAGACTTACTGTGGTAGGGAGGGACCTCCACAAGGATGCACGACTACAAAAAAACACATTTGACATTATTTACACTCAATTATTGCCAACACAACCTACAATGCATACAATACAAATAACTGCTAGTACACAAAAATTAGTAAACAATATGCAGACAATATGCGGTATAAACATTTGACTACTTACTCCTTGAGTTTTCTCACGCATTATTTTTGCCTCAACTTCCCACTGTGGTCGTCCATCTATGGTTAGGAAAAAATATATATAAATGCACAAACCAGTGAAACTCCAAGTGCAGCCAGGGAGAAAGATAGCAGGGACATATATTACACAAAATATATAATTCACTCTAAACTCAAAAATGCTGATTTAAATTTAGCAATAAACCTGAAATTCATAAGGAAAGTGACACATTTGACAAATCAGTAAATCAGAAAAGACAGTTCTCCAGTGCAGGTCTGGCTAAAATAGGCTTTTTAATGAAGAATAGACTGAGAGTGAGTAACACAGTATCATTGTTTCACATACCAGTCACACAGTACATTAAAACAAACAAGTTCATCCTGATGCAAGAGTGATCATAAATAAACCCAGGCCACACATGACCACTGATGTCTACATTTTATTATGAGGACCCTTTTGAATTAAAGTCTGCTATTTTTCAAAGTAAGTTTCCTCTTCTGGAGAAGCTCTCTTTGTCCATCTTAAAGTTTCCTAAAGATGATGTCAGTGTGCAGGGCTTTCTCAAACAGACAGGGATTGAGAACCCTACGAGACTTTGAGCACACGATTTCAATTTGTTCTGGAGAAACGAGAGACATCAAAACAATGTCATTTTGAAAGTCCCAGAAGCCTCATGGAGAAAATCTTAACAGCTATTAAATGGTAATCAAATGTCCAAATATCCTGCTGTTTGTCTTGCCTGGTTAACATTATGGGACAGAGGAGTGGAATAATTGTATTTATTTGAAAAGGCCTTAACACAATGCCGGGTTTCTGGCTAGAAAACATCCTTTTCCAGCTTTCCTATGAGGGATCTAATTATTTGGCGAGACATCTTAAGGGCAGCTGCTTGAAGGGAAGCAGTCGGGCTGAAAACACTGACAGACTTGCCGTGTGGTTGGAAGAAATCACAATCATCGCAGCATGGAGAAGAATACAAACTTTGACAACTAAGTGAGTACTGTATAGTCTCTCAGCGGAGTCAAATGAATTTGCAGTTGCCTGTTTTCATACTGCTCACATGGTGCGAGTGTACTCCTGCACCTGCACGGCCTCTTCCTCAAAACCCAAAGGATTCCCCCCAAAAACCACCGTCAGGCATCTGCACCATGTCTGCAGAGAGGCAAGCCCATATGTGTCCTTACAAGCACTCAACTGTAAGCCGTGTAACATTTACAATCCACACTATAATGGAGCTCTAAGTAAGTGATTTACCTGTTCTTTAGCTCAGCCTAACATTAGTCATAGTTGTAGTTATCCATAAGCCAGTAACAACTCTGAAGACACTCGTGAAAAAAAATTCACAGATGACAGATAGTTTTTCCTTTTTCCCTCTGAGCAAATGACCTTGAATGTCTTTGCAGCTGACAGCAGTGCATTATTGCAGCGCAGCTTGTTGACATTCAACAGGCAGGAGCAAGGGCCCCACATGCTCCGTCAGACAACAAGCACCAACAGGCACTTCATACCAAGCTGAGACCATGACTCCATCATCCAGAAACCCCAGTCAGAAGGGAAAGAGCGAGCACCTATTGCCCCGGAAGATCGCACAAAAATAACAAAAGCTGATTACTGTTTATTTAAAACATATTTGTAAAAGCCCACAGTTATTTGCTCTTACAAGAGAAACAACACAGTGACTACGGAGAACACAGGCTCTATTAGTCACTACTCAGGGCAGTCAGTTATAGCCTTTCAAGTTCATTCTTTTGTATAAACATTCATCCTTGTAAAGTTGAAATACTTATACCAATTATGGACTTATTCGGAACTTCATTGCTTGAGAAGTCTCGTAGCTTTGAAATGCTAATCTTGCTTTTAGAGAAATAATACAGAGAGAAAAACGATAGAAAGTGAGGAAAACAGACATCTATGTTTTAAACACTATTTACTTTGTGTAGATGTAATCTTTCAGTTGCCAGGCTTTAAGGTAGCAAAGAAAACAGGACTCTGAAGCTATGCCTACTAACACATGGCAAGAAAAGACATTACACATTCTTCTGCTTTCAAATATGATCCCACACCAACAATTGCCCCATGATCTGTGCCTGCACATAGTCATTTATAGTCCCATCCCATAATCTCTGTGTACTAGCAACCAAATCCCACTTTCTCCAGTTCCTTATGAATCTACTGTTATCTTCAAATTCTGACAGATGGTGGAAAAATGTCTGTCCCTTTTATTCCATTCCTATACTTACTCCAATCAGGGCCTTTCTGCACTAAAGCAGGCGGATTAGTCCTGATGAGGGGGATCATTTACACAAACCTTAATCAACATCATCTTCCACTCCCCTTTCTCTCTGTCTCTTTCCACAGTCCGCCGCCTTCGTGCTCCATGGGGCCCAGCTTTCCCTTCGTACCCAAGATGCACCTCTCTAAGCTTTCCACTTGCTGCTGTGCTATAAAAACTGGACCATCAGGGGGTGTTTCAAGCTTGCTACCTCTCTTTGCCATGCTTCAGCTGCTACACCTCAAAGAGCTACAGACATTCCTACGGGCTAAAAGAATCTTAGACAATGGCTCTTACTCGCAGAAACAACACCCTTCAGCTTTCTGCCATGTGTGAACTTGATTCTGTTGCTCCGCATCTCAAAGGTGTCTCAGGCAGGCAGAGACTGGCTCATCGACTGCTATCCATTTAACACTTCCATCCAAGGGAACAGCTACAACATGTGTTTTGATTACGGAGTGATGTACAAAAGAGAAGGCAGAGAAAGGCCAGTGACTGAACAGGGTGAATTGCAAAGAGAGTTTAACTAAGTAACGTATTTAGCGTCGGCCTTTGTTAAACAGATATAAGCAACTTTCAAAGTGTCACACTGTAGCATGAAGCAAGCAAATTAGCATATGTATTGACCATATTAGCCTGTCCTGTTAAGCATGTGAATTATAAGATGTATCATTTTGTGTTAAGTAAAGATGACAGTATTTTGAGGAAGCTTTGTCGACTGTGAAAATAAAGTTTGTACCTTTTTATGTTTGTGTAATATCTTGATACTGCAGTGGTTTGAATAATCAAACCAAAAGACTGTAGAGTTACAAGACAGTATGCGTCTGTGTAAACAAATGTGTACAAATACTGCAATGTAAAAGCCATGTCAGGATTTGCAGTGCATTGCCTCATGCCTACTTGATAGACAGCAGAGACAGAGATAAATCTGTTCTGCACTTGACAGAATGCCCTGTGGGAATAGAGGACTTGTTGGGGCTGAGGTAAATACACATATCACATCCCCACTTACATTTATCGGACATGACTACCATAAAATCCTTCTGCTGACCTCTGCGAGACATAGAAAAGCCTCTGATTCCAACCTCAAGAGTAGAAATGTAAATTAACAACGTCCCAAAGTCCGTTTTTTGGCCACTGAAGAATATCGAATTTTCCACCACATAAATGACACGTGATGTTTTACTCACAGCGGCTTCTCTGATCAAATCTGTCAGACAAGCATTAAATACAATTCGATTTTCACGAACTGTTTCTGCAGAGGTGTTTCAAAGGTAAGCTGCTGTGCACCTACCAGGGCCTTTCTCCAGGAAGATGACCTTGGACTCTGGGAAGAAGTTGGAGCCGGTGATGACCATCTCTTCTCCCCCGCTGACCAGACAGCTGGTCAGGCTGAATTTCTCCACCTGGGGCAGCTCTTGAGCCGAACGCTGGGCTGGGAGAGGAGCAGCAGGGGTGGAGGAGAGAAGGAGGAGCGTCATTTGCTGAGCTGTGATTATACACTCTGCAGTCTACTATTCAGGGTGGATTAATAATGTGTAGACAAATCATCAGGAGCTCCTTTAAACATTATGGATGTTAAAGGTCTCCTATCATACTGGTTTTCATCAATATATTATAGGTCTCAGATATATACAAAACATGTCTCTGAAGTGTTTGGCTCCAAACACCAAAAACATCTTTGTAGCATTACCCATAATCCCCTCTGTTTCAGCCCTGTTTCCAAAGTGCTGATTCTCTGTCTGTTACTTGAGATGAAAATAAGGAGCCCCTCCCCACGCCCCTCTGAGAGATATTTGGTTAAAAAGAACACAATGGTGCTCTAGGAGGAGATTCAGGTGATAAGGGGGGGGGCTACCTTGGTTGGTGATTGGCTAATGGTTACACAAGCCAAAACATCGTTATGACATCATAAAGTGGCCAAAATCTGATCAGCTCATTTTCAGACAGGTTTTTATATAAATGGATCAGGAACAGAGAGAATCTTTGTTCCTGAAACTTTCAGAGTCTCTTTCCACAGAGGGGACACATGTTGATGTAGAAGAGACATGAACAAGTGGATTTTGCACAATAGGTGACCTTTAATACAAAACCCCCCCCAAAGAATGTGCCTTAAAATAAACCACAAAATTAGTGTCAACACCTCCCTAAATGCGTAACAAAAATGTCATGGATAGAAGTGAGCGTTTACATTTTTAACATGTATCAGACATTCTTATCTTAAGTGACTTTCAATGAGAGCAAACAGTAGTTTAAATCAACATTTCAAATTGCTAGACTGCAAGCCGGCTAATAAAGGAGTGTGTGGGAAGGTTTGTGTGCATGTGCTTTTCTGAATGAACATGTTTTGGTGTGTGTAGGCGTGTGTGAGACTCTGGCTTGTTGACACTCACAGCACTCCACAGGGATAGAGGCGGCCTGCAGAGAGAGCACCTTCCCGTTGGGTTGTGGGATGTGGACTCGGAAGACCACGCGGACCCGTGTGTTCTTCCTTCCGATATCCGTCTCCCCCTTCCGCAGCTCGATGTCTGAGTTCCGCAGCTTCAGGATGCCAGCACAGTCGATGCTGCAAAGTAGAGGGGAAATAGTTGGCTCCTGTAGGGCAATCGCTAAGACAGGCATAAGTAGTGAAGGCCTGGGAGTGATAAAACTAACCACAAGCCCGGTAGGGAGTCGGCAATGAGAGGCAAAGTGAGTGTTGAATGACAAAATAAGAATGCCTGTGAATATGATTTATTACAACTGTAAAGGAGAAAAGCCCTACCAAATCCCGTCCTATGAGTTCCAACTTAAATGAAACCAGACCTTATATAAATAAAATAATCAAGGGGATGCAGAATCATAAATATTTGAATAGAGTTTCTGCTCCATGAGAAAGATTTTCCCTCTGCTCCCAACTCTCATGTTGGCTTAAATTAAGAAAATCTACTAAATCTCCCTTGGAAGATGTTATAATCCTATATGATCATAAACATTGTTATTTTTTCATTGGACCGGGCTTCCTTCATGGTGGTAAGCTCATAACTTAGTAATGTAACCCCCTAAGTGCTTCAGACACCTACCCGGCTGTCATGTTGTTTTCAGGCAGGAGAGGAATTTCGAGAACTTTGGTGCTGGTGACTACAATTTCTTGGCTGGCCGTGGCTACAGTTTTCCCGGTAATCCGGTGCACCTGGTAGAAGGCGTGCGGCCTCAAGTAGCGGTCGTCTGCTGTTCCGATGAACATCTGCAGGTTGATGGGCTTCTCAGTGTAGCCAATGAGCTGAGACATGACAGAGAGAGGGACAGAGAAACAGATGTGAGTTATTGGAGTCCAGATGAGAGGTGTGAACAAAGGAATACTCTCTTCATTTCCACTGACTTCAGAAGGCCACCCCTTTTTGGCGGGAATCTAAATGTCAGCTCGAGGGTGTTGTGTTAAGTCTGGCAGTCCCGCTGGAGATGCATCTGGTCGTTTGGCCCAAAAACATAGTTTTTTTCAACTAATGGACTTAGACTTTTTTCCCCTCAACCGCCTGCCCCTTAACAGGGTTCCATGCAAACCACCGTGACCTCCTAAAAACCCAGCTAGAGCCTTAAAACCTGGTCTGTTCAGTCGTTCCACAACCAACACAAATGTGTATTGCATTTACAGTGCCTACTACCACAACAACAACAAAACAAAACTGAAAGAACTGAATTGGCTCTGAGATTATTAGAAGGAATTGATGTGGTCAATCATCGGATCAATTTACGAAAAAAGGTTGTAAAAATATACAAAGCATTATTCACAAGCTCCTCGAGTCATTCTGTGACGTCTCGTGCACATAAAAAACCTTTTAATGGTTACGCTGGGGATAAAAGGGAAAGAAATGCCAGTAAAAATGTCAACAGCCTTTTCAAATCCAGTGCTTCGAGCAGGCTAAAAATTGATGGCATGGGGCACCTAAACTACAAGCTGCCCTCTCCATTCATCACAGGGATGGCACCGCGGTTTCAACTCAGACAGGTGAGAAGTGGGATGAAGGACATTTTGTTTGCTGTCAGGTAGAGACAAGGGGAAGATGGAGAGGCAAGCAGGACCCTTCCTCCTCAGAGGGACAGAACAAACAGGCAGGCAACACAATCCCACCTCTGTTGTAATGTTGTACTTGGCAAACTGCGTGACGGCAAATGGCACCCGCGCCTCCTGCACACTCCCATCGTATGGAGGGCAGTCCATTGAGTTTAACAGAGAAGAACAAGGCCATTCATTGCTGTTTCACCTCAGGAACTGCCAAGCCTCAACCTCACCACAGCTGGCTACTGACCCTTTCCTCCCAGCAAGTTTGCGTCACTCACCGCTGTGTCAACGTTTGGTGGAAAGAGAAAAAGTGGGTGTAGCTTGGGATTTGTCATTTGCTGTTCCAAAACCATCTAAATTAGAAAGAATTAAATTGGTCACAATCAGGCCCTGGAAACATCTGCACAAAATAATAGGAGCAAAACACGAGCAAAGAAATGCGTGCTTTGTTTCAAAATATGGAAGCCAATAATTGAAGTGAACTTGTTTGCAGCAGGATTATCAAACACAGCTTATTTCCACAATAGGTAAAGAGTGTACTGTGTTCAAGGGTTGGATTGGTGTTCGTGAGAAAGGCTTTCATTGGATTTACTGGTAGCCTGTGTTCATTTTTCCTTCCCTCTCTTTCACTCTTCCTCTTCTGAGACGGTCCCCTGTGGTGTAAGAAGTTAAGGTATGGGGGGCACCAACATTGAACTGAGCCGTGGAAAAAACTGAAATATGCTGTGTTTACAGCGAGTTATGTGAGAGGACGAGCCTCCAGAGGCATATACTAGGCAGCCAGAGCGGCATAGCTAACCTGAATAATGCTTCACTGTTCTTAGCTGAATAAAAACATTGAATCTAAAGAGGGCTATGCTACTGAGCTCAGTAAAGACCGCTTTGCTTCCCAAAAAAAAGGGTGGAATTTAATATGTCGGAAATTGCATTTCTGGAAAGTAAACAAAATACTTTTTGTTACTACTTAACATCACGTAAGTTAAGAGCACAGTGGTAACCTTAACCCTCAATTTGTTTAACTTTTGCAGATAATCAAATCTTTAGTATCCCTTTCCAGGTATCAAAGACACATTCCTCTGCAGCGTGGCTCACCTGGTGTCTCAGGTCGATTGGGAGCTGAGAGGTAAGACGTTTGTCAAATGTCTGGGCTTAGAACCGTAGGCTAAACTAACGGAGCTTCAGAGAAAGCTGAGAAGCCATGAAGCTTGAGGTCCAGCCTGGTTCGGCTCACTTTAACACTCTGTTTTCTTTGTCTACCTACTGAGAGCAGATAACACTGCTAACAGACACAAACCACTTTTAAAGGGAAACCATAACACAAACATAAGCAAAAACTAAAAGAAGCACACATTTACAACACAAAAGCCTCAAATGAAACAAGGGATGTATTTTCCACTAGACAGGGTGAGACATGTTATCTTCTTGATTGAAGTATCTTCTCATCCACTTCACCAAATATCTGTGTAAAGCATGTATTTGTTGTGTATAATTATACACAGGGTGAAGGTTTATTCATCAGTAGCAATAAATCAAAAGCTATTTTGCTAACTGTTGAGTTTGTTAGGCTTTTAAAGTTGAATTTCCAACCCCCAGGCTGGGGAATCAAAAACTCCCTGCCCAAAGGTATGTTGATGTTCCTCCACCACATCCTACATGTGTTTTAACTGCTCAGTGATGCAGGCATGTCTGAGATTGAATGACTAAATGGATCAGTTATTCCCGTTGGGTGTGTCGAGCTTAAGCTTGCTATTGGTTCCTGTAGAGCAGAATGACATCTCTGTGATACTAACCACAGGGATGAAGGTCAGGGAAGGCAGCTCGCTCCCACATTAAAATACAAACAAACTCCCAGAGGGTATATATTTCGGAAATACAAATTTTCAAGATGATGCCTTCTCACTTGTCAAAATGGAATAAAACCGCCTGTATGTGGCACATGAAATACATTCGTCAGGAAGCTGTACCGAGTAACAGCAGATGGCCCCTTTAATAACCAGTAATGGGCTCATCTTTTGAAAACCGCATTAGATCTTAAGAGCCACATGAAAGTACAAATCTGGCCAGTAACAAGCTAGCAGGTAATTACGCACCCCGGTCTGAATGGATCCATGGCTGTAAATGACACCATTATTCTGGTTTCAAAGCAACATGGAGGCGAGGGAATAAAAAGTCCTGTGGGTTGCGTTGCTTGTTTTATAGTCATGTCTGCAAACTGTGGAAGTGAGCACAGACAGACAGTGCTTGCTTGCATGTGCGTGTCACTAAATCAGGGCATGTTTATTCAAAGCACCATGTGTGTTCCAGACAGCATAAAATGAGTTAACAGTGTCTGGTGGAATGCATCTGTAAGAAAGGCGAGACAGACGTAAAAAATGAAAATGCTTCAAGGGTGTAAATAAAAAGAAAGCTCAAAAAAGTGCCCTGTATTTTAAACAGATAGTGGTCTGTTTAAACATCAGTGTCATTGTGATACCTGTGTTTTCTATTGGAGTACCTTTAAATAAAGAAATGTCTGTGTGTTTTTTTACCCCGGTTTGTCAGTGTCCTACCCAAGACCACAAACTGTCCCCATCATTTTGCTCCATTCATTAACTCCCTTCAGCTCTGCCTCTCTCTGTGCCCTCTTGGATTTGTCTCTATGTCTCCGTCTTTGCACATGAGGGATTTGGTGCGGAGCCAGAGTGTTGACGAACATACACTTAGCAGGCCAGCAGTTCTTTCTAAATCAAATAATCATCCTGGAAAAACCTGATTAGGGGGCCAGAAAGAAAGGGCACACTTCAGTAGTCCCAGCGAATCAAAAGAAATAGAACCACTCAAAACTCTCAACAAAACCCAATTATTGTTATTTTCTGTCTGGAGTTTCTCTGATTATGTTTAATTCCATTTATGTTGGTAATATTAAACCATTTAACGTTTATGTAATGTAAAATGTTAAAAGTTAGGACATTTGTTTTAGCACCTAGGACCTAGCACACAGTACCAATACTGGGTAGCAGCTGAATTGGAAATGAGACAGGTGGGAAGCTTTCAATATTTAATTTATCCCAAGTTTGTAAATTCAACGTCATTAACTTTATACTGTAGGATGATCAATTTATTTTACATCCCTAAGACTGCATTCAATCTGTGTAACAAATGCCGAGTACACTGATGCCATGAGCTCCTCCAATAGCTTTCCAAGCACACTTCAGGGGCCTATTTGCACCTTCAGTTTAGAAAATGGGTAAAGCACCACCTGCAAACAGCGGGAGATGTAAACAAGCACACATGGATAGTACCATGGTTCTGGCGGAGGAGGCTTCTCGGCAGTGATATGCACACGACACACACACACACCCTTGGCTTGCTTCACATTCCTGAGTCACCCCCTCCGTCCCCCCTTAGATCTATGCTTGAGTGTGAAATGCCACAGGAGGGTGGTCTCTGCACTTTTAACTCCTCACCTTTCCGCCTGTCCAGAGTGCAGCCCAGCTGGTCAGAAAGCAACTGAGGCCAGAGAGAGATCAGTTCTTATATTAAACCACACTGACATTAAAGCCGGTCACATGTCCCCGGGCCAGACTGCCTCTTCGGACTGTGGATCGAATTTAGGATGAACTCCCTCCCCTAAAATAAAACCACTGGATACAGTTACATACTCAGCTCCCACTAAATAAAGTCCCCACTTATTTTTGGCCATCATCTGTCGCACTGATCCAGTAATAGGGCGAGCAAGCTGAGGGGAAACACATCTCCCATCACTGCAAACACACACACACACACACACACACACACACACACACACACACACACACACACACACACACACACACACACACACACACACACACACACACACACACACACACACACACACACACACACACACACACACACGACACACTACGACACACTAACACACTAACACTACACACTACACACACACACACACACACACACACACACACACACACACACACGTTGTTTCTTTGTGGTATTCAGAGGTGCTTAGTCTTAGATAAGGGGATATGTACATAGCGCACACCACCTGCTCCCTGCAGCAAAACACTGCCTCTTCAGAAACAACTACCTGCAAGCGACGCTCCTCCCATTTTCATACACTACCCTCTCTTCTTCATCTTTCCTCTACACTCCTTCTCCCGCCCTCTCCTACTTCTTTTGCCTTTATCACTCTCTGCTCTCCGTCCCTGTCCTCGCCTCTCACCTACCTCAGCTCC